CGTTTTTTGCAGCAATGCAATGCGAAAAACGCATATTGACGAGAGGTTGTCTGTGTGTGTATCTGTTTGTCCGTGTGTTCGTCTGTCACGGCCCCCCTTTTCATCTCAAGACCTACAAAAGTTGCGGGGCTGAAACTTTGGGAACTTAATCTACATGCGCGTACGGGCCCCAATCCCCAAAATTGGCGCCACACCCCGCGTGTCACTCGCGTACGGGGCCCCCCAAAATTTTTCCCGCGTAAGTTCATAACTCGGGTATCTGAAAAGCTAGAAAGCTGAAATTTTAAAGGAATGTTCCCCGTCTAGGTAGGTACTAATGAGCTCAAATCCGGCCCCCGAGTAAGCGTGGTACCCGCGTACGAGCCCCCCAAAATTCTCCCGCGCAAACTCATAACTCGGGGTTCCGAGACGCTAGAAAGCTGAAATTTTAGGAGAATGTTCCTTGTCCAAGCAGGCACTAATCAGCTCAAATCCATCTCCCGGGTAAGCGTGGTACCCGCGTACGGGCCCCCCAAAATTTTTCCCGCGTAACATGACTCAGGGTTCTGAGGTGCTAGGAAGCTGAAATCTTTGGGGGATGTTCCCCGTCCATGTGGGTATTAGTGGGCTCAAACCCAGCCCCCGGGTAAGTGTGGCACCCGCTTACGAGCCTGCCAAAATTTTTCTCGGGTAAGTTCTCGGGGATCTGAGATGCTAGAAAGCTGAAATTTTAAGGGGATGTTCCCCGTTCAAGTAGGTATTAGTAAACGTTAACCTAGCCCCCGGTAATTGTGGTACCCGCGTTCGGGTCCGCCAAAATTTTTCTCGGGTAACTTCATAACTCGGGGATCTGAGAAGCTGAGGGACTGTAATTTTAAGAGAATATATCCCGTCCACCTAAGTTTCATTCAGCTCAAACCCAACTCTCGGGTATGCGTGGCAAACACGCACAGGACCGTAAATTTTTTTCCATTGAGTTGCTAACTCAGGAGCCAGGGAAGCTAGAAACATGAAATTTTAAGGGGGTGTTTCCTAACAATTCTGGCGGTCAGTCTTAATTTGTTTAGCTAGAAGCATTTGCCGAAAAAGCCGGTACAACAAAAACTGCGGGGAACCATGCAAAAAACGCATCTTCGCACGGGCAGCCCGTGCGTTGGCCAATTATTTTACGCTTTTATGCCGTGTAACAGCAGTACAAAACACATGTTGTCACGGGGTTGTCTGTATGTGTTTTTGTGTGTGTGTGTGTGTGTCCGCAACTTTCAACTTGGAAACCACAAAAGCTTGGAAGCTGAAAATTTAGGAGAACGTTCCCCACCCATGCATGACTCCACAAATTTAAATTCAGCCTTACTGTACCCGTGGGTAACACGTACGGCCCCGTAAAAGTTTGTGTGGGTGAAATTATTATCGCGGGACCATGGAAGCTAGAAGGTTGAAATTTTGTGGGCATGTTCGCCACCCATGTTCTACGCCGAAAATTTAAATTCAGCTTTCCCCTGCGTGCGGGTAACATGTATGGCCTCATGAAAATTGACGGGTAAATTATTATCTCGTGAGCCGCGGAATCTAGGAAGCTGAAATTTTAGGGTTGTGTAAAGTACAAAGCAGTGAAAATCATTAATAAGCAATCGTTCGGTGGACGGAATTTCACAAAACTACAAACGATCTTGCAAATTCAAATTCAGCGTTCCCGCGTTCTCGGGTATCGCCTACGGGCAAGTGAAGATTTTTTGTGGGTAAATTATTATCTCGGGAACCACAAAGTCTGCAAAGCTGAAATTTTAGGATAGCGATCCCTTACCCATGTACGACCTTACAAATTCAAATTCAGCGTTCCCGCGCTCTTGGATATCACTTTCGGCCTCGTGAAAATTTTAGCAAGGTAAACTATTATCTCGGGAATCGTGGAAGGATATTCACCCTTCAAGTTTTCAAATTCAGCTTTCATGCGCCAATGCGTGAAATTTTTAACTGTTTTTCAACGTTTCAACTATTTTTGCACAGATTAAGGTACAAAGCAGTGAAAATCTTTAGTAAGCAATCGCTCGGCGGACGGAATTTCACAAAACGCATGATCGCACCGACTAGTCTGGTGCGTGTTGCTATTTCGTTTTGCAACACTTCGGGTCATATGAACTGTTCGTTTGGACCTAGCTCTACTGTTCCAAAAATACAACATACTGATCGCTGCTGCGTAAGTTGTAAATGAACAACCCCCACTTATTACTTACTTTTTTTTATGTACTTTTTATCTCTTCGGGGCTTAAGTGGCTGCTTTTTTGTCTTATTTCGGAATATTTGAATTGTAGTATATAAAACTCTAGCTTCTTATCTGTTAAATTTTTAGGCAGCGACAGCGAGCGTTGATCTGAAAAGTTGCGAACGGCTTGAAGGACATCCAGATCAGGTGTGTTTTTCCATTACGCTTTTTTACATAAACAAGAAGGGACGCTTTATAACGAGGCCATGTCGCTCTGTGTTTATCCGTATGTCCGATGAGAATATATCGTTCTATGCTTATCCGTATGTCCGAATAATTTAACTACTGAACCGTAAAACCAGGAGGTAGGGCCTCAGGGACATAATGTGACCTACGAGCGTGCAACCAAATTCAAAGTTTTTATGCGTTTTTGCCGTGCAGCGCTAGAGCGCTGCAACAGGCAGCAAAAACGCATACTGGAACGACCCTGTCAGTGTT